CATAAGGAGAGGGCTGGTCCCTTTATGACGATCACCGAGAACACTTCCAGGCGCAAAATGCTCATTAGAGTGCTGCGTAAACACTATTTATGCCCCAAAAGTGTTCGTATTTGTCAAGCAGTCCAGGAACTGAATAGAGACTCAGGCTGTTTATTCTTAACTGCCCCCTTGGCTGCTGACAATAAATAAAGCAAATGAGAAGAAAATGGCAATAAACTATTTTTTTCCTGCTCATCTTCAGTCCTCTGCGATTAAAGAGGACAAACTTAGACCAAAACCCTGTCAACAACTTTATCATTAATCTTACTTTTCAGTAACAACGTCTATACCCTTTGCTGGGTCTCCGGGATTGCTGAAGCTTGGAGGGGCTGTGGATACTGGGTAGAGCCTTCATTATCCTTTCTGAGCTGAGTCGCAGCCTAGGAATATGTTTAAATTTGCATTGAGTCAGAGAGAAAGATGAAGGGGCTTTGAATGAAACCACTGTGTTTGTGGCAGGTGAGGTGGAGATTTAGAGGAACAAAGGCTGTTGTTATCTGTGCCTGCCATTGCACCAGAGTGTGGGATGCCTTTAAGGAGTCTTTTTTTTTTTTTGGAGACAGGGTCTCGCTCTCTCACCCAGGCTGGAGTGCAGTGATGTGATCAAGGCTCACTGCCAGCCTTGACCCCAGGGCTCAATCAATCCTTCCACCTCAGCCTCCTGAGTAGCTGGGACTACAGGCGCTTGCCACCACACCCAGCTAATTTTCGTATATTTTGTAGAAGGGATTTTGTCATGTTGCCCAGGCTGATCTCCAACTCCTGGATTCAAGTGATCCACCCCCCTTGGCCTCCCAAGTGCCCCAAAGGGATTATAAACATGAGCCACCTCGCCTGGTCTAAGATGTCATCTTTAAAGAATATCACCGTTTTCAACAGAGATTATGGAGACCGGAAGGTATGCATATAAGGCAGGCTAAGTGGCTCTGAGAAGCAGCATGGGAAATATTGGAAACAGGCCAGAAAGTTTGCAGAGCTGTTGAGAGCAGGAGCCTAGTGCTCTCCGGGGGCGTAAGCTTAATAGGGAAACCTTTAAATAAGGCCTGGAAACCACCTCAAGGCCAATTTGCAAACGAGGTCTGAGGCCTGTGTCATAGGGCTTCAAAACGCACCACAAATGGGACTTCCCTGCCAGAAAAAAGCATTCCCTGAGCTCTCCCCTAGGGAATGAAGTCCCAGGAAAGGCTTGGAGAGGAGAGAAGCCAGGCAGCGGGAGGGAGGAGGACTTTCCTGCAGGCCTGGTTCTGAAATTCTTGTCTCCTGCTGGCCAAGAGTCTACTCACGTGACCTCTCGTAAAGCGCCCTCGGAAACAGATCCTGGCTTCGTTTCCGCCCAGCCTCTTTTGCTTGTTAGTGTATGCAAATGTGACTGTTAATGAAAGCAGGGTTTGTTTTCTGGACTCAAGAGCTGAACATTCAAGTGGGATCAAGAGGGGGACTTGGCTTTTTGTGCCTTCATCAACAGCAGGGCTCCTAGGGGGCCTGTAATTCAGAGCCGAATTTTACTGTCAAAATTTTAAGGAAGGGGAAATTAACTTGAGGAGCAGACAACTCCTGTTTCCCCAGCTGTTGACTCACTGACGGTGACTGTGTATGAACTGCCTTTCTGTGTTTACACACAGACGTATATGGCCTAAGAGGAACGCTTTGGTGGGGCCGGGGCGGGGGGCACTAAATAAATAATAAACCACTCTTTTGATGTCAGTCAAGTCTTAACACCATTGAGAAATAATGATCAAATGCAAGCTAAAGCTTTATGTCTTTCAATGTCTACAAGACTATTTCAGTATTTAGGAAATATAATGAAAGACACTAAAAGGAGAGATCATCCACAGCCTCCCATCCTAGAGACAAAGTCCCTGGTCTGGAGATGACCTTCATGTTCGCAGCCTTACAATAGGTGGCTATTCGGACACGAGCGGGGCAGGAAAGGGCTCCTCCTACCCACCAGGAAACTCAGGCGGCCATCAGGTGATGGTCAGGTGGTTAACTGTCTCTCTAAAGTAATAACTGGTCGCAGCCAGCACCAAGGAAAGGCAGTCTCCCAATAAAGACAAACACCCGAAACTGGCGAGCAGCACCCTCCCGGTAAGATCTCAGGAGTTGGGCGAGTGGGCTCACGCATGCGCATGAAGAGGCAACATGGCGGAGTTTCAGCGGTACACCACCTCCTAGGGACGTCTGACTGGTAAGGGAAGAATGCCCCAGCTGAGCACACGTGTAACTCCGGTAAACACACTGCACATGCCGCCCCTCCCAGGCATTAGCAGGCCACTGCGCGCGGACAGCCCATCCCAAGGGAAGAATCAGGGGAGAAGAGATGTAAGCCCCTGGAAGAATGCCAAGGTGTAAACCCCCAGCTCAGAAGTCCAAGAGTGCACTGGATCTCTCGAGTCGCCGGCCTGGCCCTCTTCCAAATGCACTTTATTCTCTTTTGTTCCTGCTCGAATGCTTTTTCATACGCTTTCATTCCTCTCTAAAACTTGTCTTCGGCCGGGTGTGGTGGCTCAACGCCTGTGATCCCAGCACTTGGGAGGCTGAGGCGGGTGGGTCACGAGGTCAGGAGTTCAGGACCAGCCTGACTAAAAATACAAAAATTAGTCGGGTGTGGTGGTGGGTGTCTGTAATCCCAGCCACTATGCAGGCTGAGGCAGAAAATTACTTGAACCCGGGAGGCGGAGGTTGCAGTGAGCTGAGATCGCGCCACTGCACTCCAGCCTGGGCGACAGAGCAAAACTCCGTCTCAAAAACAAAAACAAAAACAAAAAAACTTGTCTTAGGCTCTCACTCTACCTGATGCCCTGCAGTCAAATTCTTTCTCCTGAGGAGGCAAGTAACTGAGGTTGCTGCAGCCTCACAGGGATGCACCACTGCTACCAATAGGACCCAGAGCCTCTTCCTCTCTGGCCTCAGGCCTCCTACTTTCTTCCCTCTCTAGCTCAACTCTGCTCTAGCTTCCATTTCTTAAACACGGCTGCACAATCTCCAGCCTTAGGGCCTTCACGCTGGCAGCTCCCCCTGCCTGGAATGTTTTTTCAACAGATATGCACACAGACATCCCCATACTTCCTTTAGGTCTTAACCTTATCCTCCCTGGTCATTCTAGCTAAAATTTCAACCTCCCCCAACACGATCTTCTTTCCTGCTTTATTACTTTTATTCCTAGCTTATCTCTGCTGTGTTACACATTTTCGTTATCTAATCTGTCTGCTGTCTCTCCTCCACTAAGCTGTAAGCTTCATGAAGGTAAGGATTCTCGTCTGTTTTGTTCACCTTTATGGCTGTGCACATCATAAGCGTTCAATGAATAAATACGTGGTGAGTGAATGAAAAAATGAGTCAATGGACGTAACATGTGGGAAGGGAAGACTTTTTCCCCCAGAAACAAAGATGTCTTTGGGGGTGGCTCTGCTGCACGGCATGGCCATCTCTTTCCATTGTCTCTAAGGCTTCTGGCTATGGAGAGTCACAGATCTTGGCACTAGCACATTGAGTGCTGGGAATTATAAGAAGCTGCCCACAGCCGAATCATATGTAGTATAAGGCAGAGATCTGCTGGGTGATTACCAAGCCTGCTTCCCCTGCTGAGCTCTCAGATACGCTATACTTACTGCCTCTTTGTGTCCCAGTGGGGCCAAGTGGCCAGTGGAACCTAGGCAGAAGTGATACGTGCCATTTCTAGGCCGGCCCCTAAGACATCCTATGTGACTGATCATGCTCTCAGCTGAAAGGAGGAGGAATTAGTGGAGAGATCTGAGACCCTAAAAGATGGTGGGGCTGACAGATGCGAGAAACTTGAGTCTTTGAATGACCCTGTGGGTCAGTGCCCCACCCCCACATAGGACTTTGCCAAGGATGTGTCCTATGTGGGGGTGGGGCACTGATCCACAGGGTCATTCAAGGACTCAAGTTTCTCGCATCTGTCAGCCCCACCATCTATTAGGGTCTCAGATTTCTCCATTAATTCCTCCTAATTTCAGCTGAGAGCATGAGGACAGTCACATAGGATGTCTTAGGGGCAAGGCCTAGAGGTGGCAGCTAGTACGACTCACCCTGATGACACAGATATTAAGCCATTATATTAGAAAGTGCCACGTAAGGCAATAAGGCACATGGTTATCTGGTACATGTCACATCATAAGGGAAAGCTAATTTACCTTCCTTAACTGGAAGTTCAGCCTCACTGGATTTCTGTGAAAATTACAATGAATTGCCAAAGGTGAGATGGGAGGAGATGGGGAGAATCTATTAAAATGCTTCAAGGTAACTGTCTTCTTCCTTAAACACTGCTACTAATTACACACATGAGCAGCAGCTGGGGCAATCTTTGCAGAGAAACTTGCAGGGAACCATAACCCAACCCCAGTTTTAAGATACTGAAAACTTAAGAGGCCACTGCTGTCATCAACGTGCAGTTTTCTTTTTTGACACCGTGCAATGCAGTGGCACGATCTTGGCTCACTGCAGCCTCCGCCTCTGAGGCTCAAGCAATTCTCATGCCTCAACGGCCCAAGTAGCTGAGTTTGCAGACGTGCACCACCACGTTTGGCTAATTTTTGTGTTTTTAGTAGAGATGGCGGTTTCGCCATGTTGGCCAGGGTGGTCTCAAACTCCTGACCTCAGGCGATCCACCTGCCTCGGCTTCCAAAAGTGCTGGGATTACAGCCATGAGCCACCATGCCTGGCCAACATGCACATTTCATAATGTGAAACCGACACTGTCTACACTCCAGGTTGAAGGTTTCAATATGGAGTTTCTATGACCAGTGATAATTTCTGTGCATACTGAACGTGATCCACTTTGAAGGGGGAGTTTCTTCCTCTTTCGTCTGGGTCAGGGACATCACGCCAACACCACCAGCCACACTAAAACGTCAGGTCCTGCTCTCGAGGCCCAACCAGAGCTGAAGTATTCACATAACACAGCAATAAACAAACATGAAAATGTAGCAAAACATTACCTGCCCGGCAAGCATTTCATACAACAGGACGCCATAGGCCCACCAGTCCACAGATTTTCCATATGGCTGATAAGCGATAATCTGTGTGAAAACAAACACATCAATTACATCAGTGGTAAGTCCAGTAGCCTCTGTCAGAACAGGTAAGTCAAGCAGGTAGGCATTTATACACTCAGTTCATGCAGATGAGGTGCCAAGATCTGTCTTTGATGTTACAACAAGGGAAGAGGATCCTCCAAACCAGACACACCGAGAACTATTACCCCGAAATTCACTGCCCATGGCTGGTTTGGGGAATCTTGTTCTGAATCCACCTGGAGATGCCACAGCACTGTCTGAAGGTAGTTTTAATTATCCTCACTGGCAGAAAGTATGTGGACACTGAGGTGGATTTAATGTTGAGAAAAAGTTAGAGGCTGGGTGCAGTAGCTCACACCTCTAATCCCAGCACTTTGGGAGGCTGAGGCAGGAAGATTGCTTGAATCCAGGAGTTTGAAACCAGCTTGGGCAACATAGTAAGATCCTGTCTCTATTTAAAAAAAAATTAAAAAAAAAAAAAAAAAAAAGAAGCCAGAGGTCATTCTGAGTCTGACACATAAGATGATTAAACTATGCAACAAGGCCTTACTAAGAGTATAATAGTAAGGATGATGATAAGGAAACATTGTAATTTTCTTGTGTTGCACAGAGAAGTGCAATGATATACATTCAGTTTGTTGAATGACAGAAGTTTGTAAAACATTTATAAAAAGGCATAAAATGTAGTAAGCAAATATAGTATCTGGAGCCAACTGCAACAAAGAAAATTGGAAACAACTGGGAAAATTAAGATACAATCTGGATGTCAGATGATACTGAGGGTTTACCATTCATTTTGTTAGGTGGCATAATGGTATGTTGACTAGTTAGAAAACATGTTTTCTAACTGGGTGTGGTGGTGTGAGTCTGGAGTCCCAGATACTTGGGAGGCTGAGGCAGGAGGATCATTTGAGCCTAGGAGTTTAAGGCTAGCCTGGGCAACATAGCAAGACCCTGTCTCTTAAAAAGTGATAATAATATTAAAACATTTTTAAAGTGTGCTTATCAGTTAGAAATGAGTATATTTATCGGTGAAATAGATAAGAGATAAAGTATTTATGGGTGAACTGACATGATAAATTAAAAAAACACTTTAATAAATGAGGTGGGAGAAAAACAGATGAAATGAGTTGGCAAATGCTGGCAGCTGTTGAAATTGAGTGATGAGTCTACAGGGGGCTCATTCTACACTTCCTTCTACCTTTGTGGCTATCAGAAGTACTAGAATAATTCTATAACCTCCCTTCGTGGAAGGCAGTAACATGGATTTGAATTTCTAAGTATGGCAGGGCTTATAAAAACACTGGCTTCATTACCTCTCAGGTAGGCTGTGTACCTGCTGCACACAATTCCCAGACCCATGGATCACATGCCAGGGTTCAAGGTCAAGACACACTTAACAGGTACTCAGCACAACCATTCTGCCATGTCGCTTACAACTTTTACTTTGACATGTTCTGGGATTTTTTTAATGGTCCAGAATGTCTAATTAAATGTCCTGGGACATAAAACTTTCTGCATGTCTGCCCACTTTCATTTCTTTAATGTATTACTAATATTTCTGCATGCAGAATGAGAAACACGAGAACCAACAGTTTGCCTAAGTGTGGGCAGCAACAAGGGTAAACAAGATTAGATCTGGCACCTTTGTAGCTCATTTCCTTGACAAGAAAATGATATAAACATAGGAACCTACAAGGAGTCTCTAAGTTCTTTTACAACCTTTGTTCTCTTCTGCACATTCTTTTCTGAAAACTTGGAAATACAAACATAAAAAACCCCAACAAATGAATCTCCAGTCTATTGCTTGGAGATGATACATCTCATTCCAGTTCCAGAAAAAATTTTGCATCAAAGGAGTTGCATATTTTTATAACCTTTGGTACAATGGTAAATTGCTCTCCCAAAAGGACTGGACTGAATTTATCTCCCTGATACCAATGTCACTATATTTTCCATTGCCAGGTAAAACCTTTCTGTTAAAAATAATCTTTTTGTGCTTTTAAAATTCCACAAGCATGCACGCTCATTAAAAAACTTAAAAGAAAAATGAACAAAGCTAAAGAAATAAGGAAGTGCCGCGCATGGTGGGGCTCACGCCTGTACTCCCAGCACTTTGGGAGGCCGAGGTCTGTGGATATCATGAGGTCAAGACCATGGAGACCA